CGCAGCACTGGCGTAGCGGCGAGGATTGCAAGCCTCAACGACCCTCGAAGGTATGCTAGTGGAAGCTTCAGCTTATGGGGAGGGGCACCCATACTGGAAAGACATGTGGCGAGATGCTGGATCACGTGCGGAAAACATCTATCTATGTAGTATATCACAGTAACAGTGTTCCTATACCGGATCGTTCCACGTCCGGGATATAAAGAGCCGCACCGACTGTTGGGTAACTGAAGCAATCTGTGATAACTGCGTGAGAAAAATCTGTTTCACGTCTTTCCGTGTCTTGGGACGTGGCGGAATGACGACTGCTGCGCAAGCAATGGTCGAACAAGAAAACAAGGTCGTAATGAAGTGCTATGAAGTCGCAGTGAAGCAGGACAGGGGTCATCGAAAAAGAGTGGTGGAACAAGGGGGAAGATCTGCACTTCAGTGATGCAAGACAGCAACATATGGCAGACCACAAACGGCTCACTGAAGCGTACATATTGTTAGCAGAATTGGAGCTGGATTAAATTAGAAGGGCAATCGATAGCGACATTATTGCGTAAGAAGATAAACCAAATAACTATATTAGTAAAATCATCCCGGACAAACCTATGACTGTGCATCGAAACGCGTCAGAAGCTATTAAGCTAGAAAGAGAAAATCCACTTCAGTTGAGATCTTACAGGAGTTTGAATGGCTTGAATAACCTAGGAGACGTACCCTTCATTTAAAAGTCAAGAAACAACGGCGTGAATGTATCACTAGAGCTAACAGTATCTGAAGAGGACATAAAATAGAATTTTCGAATCCATTAATCATGTGACACCTGCGACATTACATGTAAAGAACAAACTTTGCGTTAAGCCTGAACAAATCTCAGAAAAGGAGAAGTGCCACCATGACTAACAACAATCAAAAACAAATGGGAAGAAATACACCGAAAAATGAACTAACTACAACAACTTAAGAGGGCAGCATAAACAGGTCAGTGACTAATATAATGAAAAAGTACGGGATTGGACTAAACAAAACAATCAGACCTGCGTGCAGTGACGATAAGCAGAGGACGGTAGCTGCATCGGCAGGCTTCGGACATGCCAGAAGAGATCAGAGTGATATAAGCGGAACAAGACCTTCGTTACAAACGCAAAAAAGTTATGCAGAAATCTGGATGCAAAGAATAAACCCACAAGTAGTGCAGAAATTGTTGACCCAACTGCGACATTCCTGGAGAAGAATATGAGGAAACGATAAAATCCACGACAAAGAAACCAGTTGGGTAAAAAATAAAAAAAATTGCGCATACAATCTCCAATAAAGAGAGATCACAATCATCGAAAAGAATGGCGTTAGGCGCTCAGAAAGATGAAGAATTTGGCAGCGCAAGGCTCAGATCAGGTTCTTGCATTCTGGCTTAAACGAATAAGGTGTATGCCTCACGAGTAGTGATATTTTAGCAGTGCGTAAAGAAGGGGCACCGTTTGATTAATGAAAGGAGTAACACACCTTGTCCTGAAGTGAGGTCATGGCAATGTGACTAATTACAGGCCGACACTTGCATTCCAACAACCTGGAAACTTCTGACGTCAACGTTAGCTAATACAGTACATTCTCTACAGCATCTCGAGGCGAACAGCATAACATTTCTTGAACAGAATGAGTGTCGGATGGAAAATTAAGGACCAGTTACTTCTGAACAAAGCGCTACATCGAGATTTTAAAACAGAAGAATGATCAAAATGGGCAGAGCTTGGATCGATTTTAGGAAGGCATTTGATCTAGTAGCACACAGCTAGACCTTGGGATGCCTGAAATTTTACAACTTCAATAACAGCCCAATAAAGTTCGATAAAAGTGCTGGATAATCTGATTAAAAACGCAATCTTTACCGAAGATACCAGAATGTAATTCAGTTTGCAAAAATATGCAATGTCGAAATTAAGAGCGGTAAGATCAAGAAAAGCGATGATGACACAACGAACTATTAAAATTAGCAGCTTGGAAGTAGTCCTACAAATACCCTGGCGCATTAGAACTTGACAATATATTTCATGAAAAAATAATATTAATGGTTAGACGGAATACCGGAGGAAAATCCGCTGATTCCTGAAGAGCAAGTTATGCGAGAACAAAACTGCAGCAATTAATCAGCATATGATTCAAGTTTTTCCTTATACAGGGGGCACTATCGAATGCATGCAAGTAGATTGGCTAGAAGTGGATAGAAAGACATAAAAGACCTTGGATATGTACGGTATATCCAAAAGTAGACACAGATCATATGTCCCGTTCAAAGGAACAAGAAGTATAAAATATGCTGGAACTAGGTATATCCCTAAGACAATATTTGGCAACGGCAGTAACGACAGAGTGCTGACGATTGGAAAGTTTAACGATTTGTGCAGACTTGAATAGTAACCAGCTGCGAATGTAGAAAATTCATTAGCAAATTGTAGAGAGTAAGAAACATCATGGTAACAGTACCTTCGTCAAATCGGTCAAAGGATTTAAATGTGTCAGCCTTTCAACTGGCTATCAAGTCGTGGCTGGCCTTCATGGCGAATTAAAACTCTATTAATAGCCGCATAAGACCAAACACTGAATACGAACTCACACAAGGCAGCCAGAAAAGAAGTTTAGAATGTGCCACCTGAAAGACGAGACCGTGACCTATTCAATTTCTGGTTAGGAGACGATCGAATCGAGAATACATTTTAAGCTGCAAAGGCAATCCACTAGCATTTGCACAAGCGAGATGAATTACAAGTGGAAAAACAACGGTTGAAGCATTAATTGATGCGGTGAAAAAGAATGAGCAAGAGAAAAGACATCTAGAACTTCTCAATACGCCCCGATATCATATTGACACAGGAAAAAAGCGGGCACAAATAATATGCCATGCTCGGCTGAGGAAACGATATTGTTAAGAAGAGAGAAAAGATATTAAAACACTAAGAACTGAAGGTAGGAAAACGAAAATTCTGGAGATCAATGGCTGAATTCATTTCTGTTGTGACTGATGCACCCAGAGGCGGCAAAAAACTCCCAGAACGTACTAAAGTCAATTGATGAAATGATCAGTTTATGAATTACCAAAGGCGACCTTACTGCCGCTACCTAAACCTTGGCAGAAGGTTCGAGCTGGTGACGTTCACAGCACACAGGTTAAATTTCATGAACCGTGATTGAAGTAAAAAATTTGCAGAGCCTCTCGTCATACAAGAGCGTCGTACTTTAGGTACATACTCGCACAAAGGTTCAGCACTGTTCGCTCATCGTAAAAAATTTTGACAAAGTACCACAGAATTGGAATTTTTCAGGATGGATCACTGCCTTTCTTATTTTACTTTCTTTCGCAATTACACGCTAATTTGCTTCGGTCAACGACGTGCAAATTCTTTTGTGTAAAGTTGCACATTGTACATCATACCATGAACAACGTGCTTCTTTCACTGTACGATAATTGTTCCGCTGCTTTGCAATAGCCGGATTCATGTTTGCCGAACAATGTCTTTATAATCATGTTTAATCAGTGAAACTACTTAATCCGGTATCACTATTAATGTGGAACTACTTACATGGCTAAGCATTTCTGCTTAAAAATGTGATAAATACAATTTGATAGAAAATCATAAAAGTCGCAACGGAACAAGTACAATTCAGAAATCTTATTGTAAGAAGTTCATAAATCACCAAACATGGCAACAGACCAATACGCTTTACAAAGATAAAATCAGTAAGAGTAACAAAAAATTGCATATAAAAATATTGGTCCGTAAATGCAATTCGGTTACATAAATAAGGCAGATAGGCGTAAAATATAGCCACCAAGACACATGTAAGCATAAATTAATGTACAAAGGCACTGATGTATCCGTTCATTTAGTTTATTTTTCATTGGCACTTATCACTTGAATTTTTACACAGTACAGACAGAAACACGATACAGTCATCAACTGCTTACTTTGCCGTTGGATGGAATGGATATCGACGGCAACGTTGCAGACCGTACCGGAATATTATACGGTTTATAGGGGAGTAAAATTGAATCCCTAAACGAGAATAAAATTTCAACGAGAAAAAAGCACGAAGCAATATTCGCATATACAGGATAAACTTTAAAAAAATGAACAGCTGTTTATTAAGCAGTTTTCTACAGGGAAATAAACTTGTGGAATGATATAGCAAATTGATAAATGCTTACGCTAACAAGAATAATAAATATTATAAAAGATATTACTTAGAAGTTGTAATTTTCTCGATTGTTCGCGCATCACGGAATTTACTGTATACTCAACTATAGGAACTGCTAATGGTAAAGATTAAGCATTTTATTCGTATGTTTGTGTTCAAATTGGAACCTCACAATGTATTAAAACAGCTTATTTATGCATAACGCAAATGAATAATTTGGTCAATCGGATGATTACCACTACTAATGTTTCAGTTCATCCTCAACGAAGCTTCTTTAGGGTGATCCGGGTTAGTTTTTGCAGTTGGTTGCGGGGTCCACTCTGAAGTTAAATCTACCCATTTGATGGGGGACAACGATTAAATTCTGGACAGAAGGACTAAAGATCACCATCCTTCTTCATTATTTTCTAAGCTCAATATTCCCTTCTGTTAACAGACTCCACAACGTCACAACGTTAGCGGGTCGTAGTCATACGTAACAACACATTAACAGCCATTGATTGGTTAATGACTAGCATTCTACCCCTACGGTTGTGAATCTAAAACTATCATTACCTATTCTTAAAGAAAACATGGCGAACACTATGTCACTCCGTTTGGCAGATGTAACTCACCAGAAGATTTCATCAGTACTGGTCGAAGTAACTGCTGTGTAAATGTTCATGTGGGGGATAAGGACAACCCAACCTCAACTTCACCAGAGCAAATATAACAAGTCTTAGGTGACGAACCATTCTGTTAATAAAACAAATCAAGCGAAAAAAATATTCTAAGCATGAATGAACCATCAACATAACAAAACATCCACCAGTGTTCAGTTTTTACCGATGAGAACTGCTGGAAGATATGCTTGATTTGTCAGCTTTACTCTTCAGCTGTTCTATGCGCTTGTGCAGGAACGAAACCCACTGCTTAGATTCTTCTGCAGAAGAAACCATAATGAGCATATCGCGAGCCAGCATTGGGTCGTAGTTTACGCGACATGGAGCCACGTCTTTGTCGTGCTTTTCCAAGTGATCTCTGTGAATCTTGATGTGGCACCCTGAAAATAAGAATACGGTTATTACCTGGAAAATGCTCACTTGCCAGTCAGAAGTACGTTTGCACTCCAGTGCCGCTGGAGGTTTCAAAACATTCCACAGCTGCTTTGAGCAAATATCACAGGAAGTGGGACTATGAAACAAGATCAGAATGAAATCGTGGCCTTTGTGTTGAATCGCGTCCTAAACAAGACCATTTAGCTCGAACGCTGACAAGTGAATTAGTGGTTGATCACCCGCTTACTGATTTAGCTGGTTCCGTAACAACATGCGACTCCTCGTTCTTGCGACTCTCACCTTCACCCGCGTAGATGATTTGGAAAATTCTCGGAATTTCTTTCTCTTGAGCAAATCGAGCATCAGCCAGTGTCACGTGACGCACGTGGTACAGCTTCCTAAAAAAGTACCTCCTATACGAGAACATCAAAAGCCGCAACAACAGACATCTGCAAACGAGAGTGAATCCTATAAAACACATATTCAGGCACGTTCCAGGCCATGGTGTTGAATAACGTTTTCATTTCAAAACTCCATAAATTCAGTTAGGGATTTAGAAGCTTTCAAACTTACCCTTTCCGTTAATTTTACTGATCACAGGTGGTTCAATCTGATTCTACCGGTCTTTAACTTCAGCAATAAATGTTGATAAAAATCTTGAAGTTACCACGTAATAAACAAACGGCAAATGGAAAATTTACCGCAGAAAGGCTTTTTAATGCGTGAATAACACCAACAGATAAATTCCACAAGGAAAGATAGGAGGATTTAAGCTGTTTAGTCAAGTGGTAACTAAAATCGGTAGTAGCGGTATGAACAGCATGTACTCGGAAGAAAAGTGTTGTACAAACGGAGAAATCCACTATTACTGGGGAGTGGACATTTCAATTTAATAAAAGTGAAATCAGCAACGAACTCCTTTATAGTGAGTAACGCAAACAGGATTTTACGATGCGGCGGCACAAGAAATTTAAAGATAAAGTCTGGGCACGCTTTGGAAGGTTTCAATTCGCTTCGATTCAGTTCCTCTAATAACTAATGATACGGTGGTATGATGACACAGTCAGCCTTGAACTTCAGATGCGCCGAGTTCCAATCCACTCAAGGGACAGCCTTTACATTAACTGCTAAGTCCCTCGAGCAAGAAATTAACTCCATACTGCATTAGCGCAATCAACCGAGAAACGGGCAGTAAGTCGGTGACGAATAATAGGGCAGCTTGGTACTTTGGTGCGATCAAGCTAGAATGGACGTGGTGCGCGGCGTCATGCTATGTGATACGAGAACCCCTTAAGACGAAACTTCGCATTGACTCATATGACAGCTTAATATCCAGTGAAACAATCAGCACAAGATCTAACTAAGCTTTCTATTCTCTCTATACCTCTAAGACAACATGTAACTTGCAAAAAAGTCCTTGATCCGGAGACACAACGGCTATGAAAACTTCATACTAAGCTGAAACAAAGTTAACCAAACGGGCTAAAATAGACAACAGAATGTGAAAATCAGTTCTTTGCTCAGGAATATTTGGTTTGAAACGTACTCTGCATCAACAAACATACCATAAAGAGAGCTAGAAAGCGATACCGGGTGAGAAATATTTCATGTGCTAACAAAATAAAAAAAAGGCAAAAGCGTTAGCTAACCTTGTTTGGAAACTGCTGATAAATGGATAACAGAGAATATGGCAAGAATTAACGGAATATTTAATTTTTTTCAAAATGCAAAAACATTATATCCACAGCTTTACACACGGGAACACGAACGAGCGCATAAAGGTTAAATAGTGGATCCCTCTTATGACGATCAACGATTCACTAACGATATGCATGATTTTCTGTAAATTTAGCAGATTATCATTTA